ATCTGCATATAGAAATGCTTCCTCTTTTGTACGCCTTAGTGCTAAAAAATCCAAGTTCAAAGCGAAAATCCAAATTTCACTGGCCAAGCGCTCGCAGTGCTGATGGAAAAACTTTCGCTAATGGAAGTGCAAGCAATAAAAAAAGCCTAAATTCAATTATTCAGGCAAATCGCATATATATCCGTATATATCGATAAATTAAAAGTTATTATATTTATAAAAATCGTAATTTTATTATTTTTTTAATTTTCTTAATTAGAAAAAAATCCTCCGATAAAAGAAATGCGTTTGATCTAATAAGCTAACGAAAATAATGAGCGTTCTTTGAAAGAAAAATTATGAAAAAAATGAATTGTTGCATTAATAATACCATTCAAATATTAAATTAAAATATTAAAATTGACTTAGAAAAACAATTTTATTCATTTTCAAATGACCAAATTAAAAGAAAAACAAATAATGGAATTATTGAAATCTTTACTATCAAAGTATCAATTTTTGAGAAAATATTGAAATAAAATAAATTTTGCGAAATAAAATTAAAATTTAAAAAAAAAAGAAAAGAAACAATGATCCCATTCGAGCAAATATATGATTCAAAATCAAAAACATTTTATGAATTTCATGTGCATAAGCGACAAGTTCTTCTGCATTGCTGCGCCAACACTGTTGAATACGGTGGAGTGTTGCATAAAGATGCCATTTCCGCGCAATTGGCTCGACTATCCGAGCATGCAGAAGCTGCTCCAGCGGTTGTGGTTGTGGCTAAATTTGAAAAATTAAAATTATAAATTATCAAATAGATAATGATAAAAGCTATAATTTCAATTAGATTAGGGCAATTTTTTTTCCAAAACTGTCGTTTATTTTTTATATAAAATTACTGAAAAAAATTTGGATCCAAATTATGGGCTCAAAAAATTTGGAACCAAAATATTCAAAAATTGGCTGCTGATTAGAAGATTTAGGCAATATTCTGCGGTCTAACATAATATAATAATCGATAAAAATAAAAATTTACACAAGCAAGTTGTAATTCGGCATGTCGTCATGCAACTTTGCTGCATAAATGTATTTTGGCACGTTAAGAGGGGCAATAAAGCTGCACAATTTGTTGCAGTATCGGGACAACGACCACCGGCACCAGGTCGATTGCATAGTCCGCAGACTTTGGGGCAGTTCGCTAGCGCAGCAGCGGAAGTAAGTGGATTTGTACACAAATCGGGACTTGCAGTGAATGGAGCGCAATCAACGCCTTGGGCTAAACAGCAAAATTAAAAATTAACTGATAATATTAATAAAAATTAATAATTAATAATAATTTATCATTTGCAAAAAATTCAGTGTTTTTTTTCTTTTCCATCAAATTCGAACTTTAAATTTTAATTTAAGAAATCCGATTAAGTTGCATACCGTTATCGCAATTAAATTCAGCTGTCAAACAACACACCGCGCATGATGACGGACATAATGCTTCAGCGTTTGCTACAAGTGTCGCATTTTGACAATTTCGATTAACCAGAAATCCGTTCGCCCTGTAATTGCTCAAATAAGTTATTGAAATTGTTTAGTACAAAGTCAGTAGGTGATGCAAAGAAAAAACTTACGGATTCGCGTTGTTTGCTGCATCGGAACCCAATGGAGCAAAGATTGCTGTGCAAAGAACTTGATCCTGATCTCTACAAGCAGTTGGGGGTGGCGAAGGTCGAGGAGCAGCAGGAGCAGGGGCTGCGAGGCATTTAGTGAGAGCAACTCCTCCCGATTCGACTTCTTTCAGAATACTAAGGAGAAGTAGTAGAGCGAACATTCTTAATAAATCGGTAATATTCCTCGACTTTTTATAGTGAATTTTTTCCTAAAGTTGTGCCAAAAATAGCATTTATTATTCCACCTGCTAATCGCTATTCTCCTTTTTCTATTGCTATAATTGGCGATTATTGGCAAACAGTATTTTTCCTTTCATTTCCCAACTTTTAAAAATATCGCTTTCTTCATTCATTTTTTGCATTTACTTCCAAACATCTTGAGACTTTTCAACATTAAACAATTTAGTTGTTAATTTATTTATTATTTTCTTTAAATTTGTTTGATTCTGAATTTGAATATTTTATCAGCTTTTTGCTATCACCTATCTTTATTCTTTATCTATTATTAGATCAGTCCATTAGAGTCAATCCATTAGAGTGATTGTTAAGAATTGATTCATTGGTTCAAAATAATGATAGGCCAAGAATGTTGATAAATTCTGGAAAAGTTTGGCAGTTATTTATAAGTCAAAATTAATAATATTTATTAAGCATTAAACATTTATTAAGCATTAAATTCAAGAGCAAAAATATGATCAATATTGCAACATTAGGTCTTTTTTTAAGTAAAACCCTCCGTCCACTTCCGGTCAAATGAGAAATTGTTATTTGTTAATAATTGCATTCGTTAACTGATCTGTAAAATTTACTATTTCGATACAATTTGTAAATTGCGAAATTTTGTCGTCAGCTTCAATTCCTGTCAAAACTTTCGAGAACTTACTATTTTACTGGTTTAAGTATTTGAAAAATGGAACTTTCGTTCTTTTTAGTGGATTTTAGTGAACACTGACCAAATGAAATATAATGGAAATTTTATTTTTATATTTTGAATGAATTTTTTTTCAAATATGGAATCTCAAACGATGAATGTTATTGAAAAGCGTTCCAGTTTTACTGAATTTTAAGTTTGTACCAAAATTTTTTTTACTCTATGCGCTTTTAATGAAAATTAGTTGCCACTTTTTGCTGAGCAAATAAATGATCTTTTCACAGTTCAAAAGTTAAAACACCTAAGCAAATAATGGAAAAAAAAATCTAAAAATAGATTTTTTATACAGTGTCATTGAACGGTAATTAATTTGTTAATTAAGGCTTAACTGCTGGTTCGGATCCATTCTATTTTTGCTTTCGCCGTTTCGCGATGTCTAATTCATTTTAGTTTTTTTCTAAGTGCACACAAAATTTCTGAAGTCTTCTTGCTCAGCTGGCATGTCACATACAATTTTGCTAAACATGGCGATAGACAGGTGAATTATCAGCACCACTCAGATTTGTGAAAAATAGTGCCAGAAGTGCAGCTCGAACCTCGACGAATACAACAGCCCGCTAAGACATGTTGCTTCTATTGATACACCATTTCTATGCAAAAAATTCACCACCTAATAATCGTTGACTAATTTTTAGGATTTTTAGGTTAACCGCCGTGGAATGATTATCTATCTCGATCTGGCAAAAAATATTTCATCCATAATCGATTTGGCATTATAAGAAATTACGAATTGTCAGATTACCTCGATATTAATTTCTAAAAATTTGCCAAATAATAAAATAAAAATAAAAGATTAAAAAAAATTTGTAGTTGAAATTTACTAGCAACATAAATTTTATATTCGTTTTAAAAGAACTTGAAAAATTCAAAATTCATTTTTATTAGAACATTTTATAAATATAAAAATATTTGTAAAATATTGTTTTTTTAGATCATAGATGAAAAATTTTTGCGTTCACTATTTTAAATAGCATTTTTATTTCCTTTTCAAAATCGTTGAGCATTTACAAAAGGCTTTTTTTATTCACATGGTTTATCAGATATTTGCAATAAATATATTAATTATCACTTATTTTGCATTGAATCTGAAAGAAATCATCTACTTCCTCCAAAATTTGCAGAATTTTATCAGTCTTTAGAATTCGGTGCTAAATACCATCCTAATGCCCTCTCATCAATACTGTTATTCTTCTTTAAAGTCAAATTATTAACTCTGTATTGTCCCACTTTTCCTTGACGCTTAAGTAATATTATCTCACAAAACTTCTCAGTTTTGCAAAATTTCTTTGTTCTCCAAAGCTACCATTTGTCATTAATATGCGATGTATTTGCAATATGTAATAATATTTTTAAACCCAGTTAAATTCCCTCATTAAATTTGATTTAAACATGCCAAATCCATAAAATTTCCTCAAATTTTTCATAATCCATATTTCTCTTCATTGTAACTCTTTAACAAATCTCGAAATCCCTTTGTTTATGTTTAAATCTTATTAAAATCTTACAAAGATTTCCTAAAATTAGTACAGCCTCTTCATGGCACTTTACACCCTAATAGACTTCATTATATTCAGAAAACCAAATTCCGTTCTACTTTCTATCACCCATTTATACTCCTAAAAAATTGGCTTAATGCAGAAATAAAAGTTTGCCATGTGTGCCAGAAGTATTTTACGTCATCAACTTCCACTTTCTTATATTTCCTTGCAGCGTAATTAGAAGCTCAAAATCATGAAGATTAATAGGGTTACTGAGAGGTTAGGAAAAATAATAATTCGATGAATTCGAAGAGATAAGAAGAAGAAAAACGCTGAGAAAATTGTATTGTAATTGTATTATAACTGTCGGACGAGCAATTTTCGTAAATTGATTAAAAAAGTATAAAATTATAAAAACTATAAAATAAATAATAAAATTATAAAATAAAATTCACAAAATTTTGAAACTAGGAATGGTGATTCTGACCTAAGGCATATGTGAGTATTTGTGAGCACGCGATGCTTTTTTCTGCGTGAAGTTTGCTTGAATGCGTGAGTAAGTGTATATTACCAGTAGGAATAAACCTATCGTCCAAAAATCTAAGTGGTATGGGTTGCTTACTCGATGCTTCTATCACCGAGTGATTCTCTTCCAGATTTCATCTTAGCTATACGAGTTTCACCAGAAATAGAAAAATTGTTAAAAAGAATATTGCGATTTGCGATTTTTACGAAATAATTTTATTATAACATGTAGCATATTTTTATAACATACAAAATATATGAATGAAGAATACAAATATATTTAAAAATAATAAGAAAATATTGCAAAAAAATGGAGGATAAATAATTAAAAATAATTTTAACATGAAAACAGAAGCATCAAAACAAAAAAAACATCCATCTTAGGTGAAGGTAATCAAAATTATGAAGGCTTCATGAATTTCATGTGCACAAGCGACAAGTCCTTCTGCATTGCTCCGCCATCACTGTTGAATACGGTGGAGTGTTGCATAAAGATGCCATTTCCGCGCAATTGGCTCGACTATCCGAGCATGCAGAAGCTGCTCCGGCGCTTGTAGTTGTGGCTAAATTTGAAAAAATTGCTAAAAAGTCATATCGATTGCCAATGTTTCAAATTTATAGACGTAAAATTTTTTAAATTATTCTTTGTTTTATGAAAATATAAAAATAAATAACATAAATGAAATAAAAAGTCGATAAAAATAAAAATTTACATAAGCAAGTTGTAATTCGGCATGTCGTCATGCAATTCTGCTGCATATATGCATTTTGGCAGGTTAAGAGGGGCAATAATGCTGCACAGTTCGTTACAATATCAGGACAGCGACCACCAGCACCAGGTCGATTGCATAGCCCGCAGACTTTGGGGCAGTTCGCTAGCGCAGCAGCGGAAGTAAGTGGATTTGTACATAAATCCGGACTTAAGGTAAATGGAGCGCAATCTGCGCCTTGGGCTGAAAAGAAAAATTTATTCTACAATAAAATAAAAAATAAAATTTAATTCAGCTGAAAAGGTTTACAAAAGATTTAAATTTAAATTTTTTTCTTCTCCATTAAATTCGAACAAATGTAATTTAAGAATTTTGATCAAATTGCCTACCGTTATCGCAGTTGAATTCGGGTGTCAAACAGCACACCGCGCATGATGACGGACATAATGCTTCAGCGTTTGCTACAAGTGTCGCATTTTGACAATTTGCATTGACGAGATATGCGTTCGCCCTGTAATTACTCGGATAAGTTATTGAAATTATTTAAGTCAATAAGTGATGCAAAGAGAAAACTTACGGATTCGCGTTGTTTGCTGCATCGGAACCCAAAGGAGCAAAGACTGCCGTGCAAACGACTGCATCTTTATCTTTACAAGCACTTGGAGGTGGCGAAGGTCGAGCAACAGCAGGAGCAGGGGCTGCAAGGCATTTAGTAAGAGCAAGTCCTCCCGATTCGACTTCTTTCAGGATGCCAAGAAGAAATAGTAGAGCGAACATTCTCGATAAACTGGTAATTTTTCTCGGCAATTTATAGTGAATTTTTTTATATAGATATGCCAAAAATAGCACTTATTATTCCAGCTGCTAATCGCTATTATCCTACTGCTATTGCTACAATGAGTGATTGTTGGCAAGCAATATATTTCTCCTTTATTCATAGAAAAGTTCCCCCATTTTTAAATATTGCAAATTCAATTTTATATATCCATTTTTTGTTGCAACAATCACAATAATCTTATGAATTTTTAGTATTAATGAATTTAATTAATTTGCCTTTATCACTAAATTTGTTTAATCCATTTTTAATGCAGTTTTCTTATCAACTTTGTTATCAATAATTGTAGATTAATCGAGCATAACCGGTTAATTGGGATCGATTGGTTCATTAAAAATAATAACAAGGCAGATGTGTCAAATTTTGAAAAAGAGACACCGAGATTCCTATAATTATCTTTATCATTTTTATCATCTTATCATCCACGCTAATCACTTTGAAAGGATAGCAAATATTTTTATGTACTGAATAATAATAAGATTTATCGATAAATACGAAAGCTGTTGCATTAGATCTATTTTTAATTGCCACATCCTTCCAGGAAATGGGAAATTTATATTTGTTAAACTGCATTTGCAGACTGATCGGTAAAATTTACGACTTAGATACAAATTGCAATTTGCGAAATCGAATGGAATTTGCCATCAACCTTCATTTCTATAAAGCTTTCGAAAGATTTTGCAGGTTTAAGTGATTGATTTCAATTGCTTAAATGCGTCATATCTTTTTTCTTTTTAATTTTCAGGTGATTAGCGTGGATGATAAGATGATAAAAATGATAAAGATAATTATAGGAATCTCGGTGTCTCTTTTGTGCACATAATAGATTTATTTTTGCATTTTGAATTTCGTATATATTAAATCTCAAAGGGCGAAAACGTTAACACTGAAAAGTGTTCGAGGTTTGTTGAATATGTTGAATTTTGCGTTTATTTCATATTAGTTGTAATTTTTTTCAGCAAAAAAAATTTTTTTGTAATATATAAAGTTTTATATAATTTTGATAAATATTAACGGAAATTATTTGCCACTTTTCGATGAGCAAATAAATGAATGATTTTTTATTTTTAACCGTTCTTTATTGTTCGAAAGCTAAAAGAACGCATCAATAAGCAAATATTGAAAATGAGCGAAAATCCAAAAATAGATTTTTAAATGGCATTCATCGTTATTTGCAAATTATCGCATTAAAAAGTCTTGGTTCGATTTTAGTTTATTTTTCAAAGTGTGCTCATAGTTTGATTAGCTTTTCGCTCATTTGTCGGATCATAAAATTTTTGCTAATTTGGTGATAGACAAGTGAATCGCCAGCATCCGTCGGACTCTTGAATGGCAGGTTAGAAGTGGAATCCTAGCATCCGAGTTTTGACACGAGAGCTGCAATCCGCTGAACCATTCATTCCATCTGTTTCTACGGAGAAATATTGCCACTTTATAACAAGTGATCAATTATAAGATTTAGATTGAACATGGAGATATAATGCTCATGATGATTATTTTGATTTAACGAAAATATTTGATGCATAATTGATAAATTTATTGATAAAAATGTAAATGTATTATGGCAATGTGAAAGAAAATTTATGTAAGTGGATATCAGAATATCTAGAAACGAAGAATTTGCCAAAATGATAAAATATTATTGAAATAAGGCCTTAATTAATTAAAATTTATCACTATGCAAAAAAAGTATTTTGTCATAATTGAAACTTATCTTATCACTTTATCACATGATCATTCATATAAGAAAACTTTTTGAGAAACTTCAGTTGTTATTATACCGTTTTTAAATATCATTTTTTTAGTTCAATGATTCTGAAACTTTTTACTTTCATTGCTTTGGACAGCGTTTTTTCTTCTTTCAAAATTGTTAGGCATTTCTAGTTTTTATTTACATTTATATATACATGAATTTTGAGTTTTCGAGGAAGTCCTGACTTTAAGTATCTTGGATCCATTCTAATCCCAAATTATAACCCGAATAACGACAGTGTTTATCGGTTAGAAATGTGTTTAGAAATGTGTTTATCGGTTGATGAAACTTTTATGGAACCGTCGAGAAATCATTATAAAGACGAAAGGCCGCGTCCATATAGCGATAATTCGCTCGATCTTGCTATATGGCTGCGAAACATGGCCAATGAGAGTGGAAGATATTAAGAAGTTATTAGCTATTGACCACCTATGTTTACGATCCGTCGAGCAGACAAAGTCGCTAAAATATGATTGCATCAATCTTCGCTCAAGTACCATTTGTATTAATAATGTCATCACAGAGCGTCGCCTTCGCTGGTTAAGATATGTTCTCCGTCGTCCACCACAGGACTTGACTTCGCTACTTGCTGAATCTGTGATGGCTGGACTGAAGACTGTCAGGAAAGATTTTGAACGTATAGAGGGACCAGTGATATATGGACTTAGACGATGAAAAAAGGAATGGCTTCTATTACTGCTAGCGATGGCGTTGGACCGAACAGCCTGGAGACGATTTACCCTTGTAGCCAGCGGAGCTAGCCTAGCTAGTAATGGTGAGAGCTGTTAGAAGAAGAAGAAGAACTGTATCTTTTCGCACTGAGAATAGTTTCAGAAGCTTTACATCATTACATTTCCTTAAATCGCCATCATATCTTGCAATTCGCAAAATCACAAGTGTAAGAACGGTTTACATAGGATTATTATTAAGAGAACATGGAAAGAGAGAATGATAAAAGATTCGATAAGCAAACTATATAGGAGGAGGATTCGAGGATATGTAAAGAAAATGCGATAAATTTTGAAAAAAGTTGTATACTGGTCCTTGACCGTCAAACCGCAGGACGAGAATTCGGGTGAGTAAAGTTTTTTCTTTTTCTTCTTGGCACCATTGCTGTTTGTCTCGTTTCATTGGCGACTAGGTTAAGATATTACCTGATCCTGCGAGAAATTGATAGCACTCTTTTTTCTAATTCGTATATCTCATGTACCGCCTATGCGCATAAAATGTCGTCCAGCCATTTTATGTCTTAATTGATCCTCACTTTTGACGACAATCACCACTTAGTTTAGTTTAGTCAGCATGTGCGAATTTCTTTGGCAAAGAATATGGCTAAACCGCCTGCGACAAACCTTCATGACAATATTCTTAAAGCTTGTGATTTTCGAAGGAAGATGGATGCAACCATGTGAGACTTTGCCAGCTTGGAGGATATATAGAATGTATCACATGCAAAAGTGATCAAAAACAAATAGCTTCTTGATATCCTTCATTCTCATCGGCCAAGTTTTGCATTTTATAGGAAAATATTTTTATTAAACTTTTTTTTTAAAAAAAGAAGAAGACAATATGATATTTTTTAAATCTAAATCTACAATTTATACGATGCTCAACTTACTACAAAACTTGAAGAACTTATAAATAATCATTGAGAATTTTACTAGAAAATGCTAAAATAATTTTATCAATAATACAATATATATAATATAATAATACAATATATATAATATAATAAAATATAATGCAATAGGCATAAAATGAAACGATTTGAAACTAAATGATTTGAATTCCAACAGATAACGAATGATAGCGGATTTCACAACATTGAAATCTGACAAATATTTGCTTACAGCAGATTTTTTTTTTTATTTGTAAAATTATAGAAATTATAGTAATTGTAAAAATCAGAGAGTTTAATGTATTTCAATGATACCTTTCGCATTATTTTGGATTTGAAGAAAGTGGATAGAAAGTAAATTTGCATGGGAACCTAAATTCTTCACTCTTAAAAGTAACTAAACTTAGTAATTAGAGCTCTTGTCGGGAAAAATTGAGAACCTCAAACCAGAGCTTGGGAAATTAAAATTTAGGCATTACCATTTCGGTTTTCAAGTTTGAGCCTATGAATTAGGTGATGAGATCATCGGAGTTAGAGTTCGTAACATAGGGACTGTAGCTTGGAAACATGGGCAGGAGATTGGGATCTAGGACACAGGGCTTAGGAATATTCGTGCAGGGAGATCATCTATTGGAGATATACATTGGCAGTTTATGTAGCTGCTTAGCGGGGAACATATGAGGCACGTATGCTTGAAGAGCTTGGGTGACGTTGGTCTTTTATGTAAGTAAGATAGCGGCTCTCAAGAAACAATGTTTCATCTATCTCAAACAGATTATAGATCACAACATTCCAAACCGAATTCTTCTTCTTCCAACACTTTTCACCACCACTGATTGGACTGGCTGTACTGGCTAGAAAGGTAAGACGTTTTCATGATCTAATGCTATCTTTGACAATAATATAGAATCCATCGCTTTTTGTATCATCTGAATCCATATATCGCTGGATATCGCTGGTTCTCTTATAGGTTCCCTTATAGGTTGGTTAAAATTTTTCTCGATTATGTCGGTCTAAATTAATATAATACCAAAAATAGAAGTGGTACTTAAGTGAAGATGGATGCGATCAAATCGAATTATTAAAGTACAAATCGCAAAATTTAAATTAAGATAGATGATGAAATGATAATCGAATTGTTGACCGACTGGTGACCGGAGAGCTTTTACGAGAAATCCTCGCCATAAATATTTCGAAATTTTTATTTTATATTTTTTAATATTGAAAGAATCGAACGTGCTTATATGCTTTTATTTAAATCTTCAAAATAATGCATTACTTAATCACTTAATGGATTAATTATTTTTATTAAATATAAAGTGATAAAAATATTTGTCACCAAATTTTTTGCTTAAATCCTTTTCGTTTTCCTTCTGAATCGCTTATTCTTTAATTCATCTATAATCATTTTTTCATTATTTCTATTTGATTAAATTTTCATATTTTTTTTTTTTTTTTTGAATTTTTCCATTGTTTGCTATGCCGGAAAATTTTCGCTATAGCAAATTTGGTTTGGCATAAATTTTTTTTTCAAATTTGACATAATTTTTACTGGGACAATAAACGAATTTGCATATTTTTTTCACAACAGTTGTTGTTTTGTTAAGAAATAAAAAACGATACGTAAATAAACGTGTTTCACGTTTTTGAACATTAAAATCCTCGTTTTCACTAGTTTTCCGGACGCATTTTCGCTTTTTTTTTATTTCAACCACTTATACTTTAGTGCTTTCATTCTTTTTGAAAATGTATATATGTAGATTTTTTTCATTTTTTAAAGAGTACTCACCATTAAACTCGCTCCGCTGGCGTGTCGCAATTGGACAAATATGCCAGAGGCGGTAGAAATACAGGTGAGTTGCCAGCATCACCTGGATTTTTACGTACAGGTTTACTCCTGCGAGGAATTATCGAACCTCAGCATCGGCATTTTCAATTGAGCAACAACCAACTGAACCATTCTATCTCCTAATATGTAGATATAGTAAGGCTGTATAAGGAAGGATTGCGAGACATGGAAAAGTTTTTTACTTTAGTCACCAGTGGAACCAGCAATGGTGCAAGTGGTATATGTGCTAGAAATGGTACGAAGAAATTTTATGAGAAGTCGGCTAACTAATCATTGCAAGCGCTAATTAGCCGAATTATTCCCCTCTCATGGAACTTATGATTTATCTTTAGATATTCGTAATTCTAAAGTAATTCTTTTCGATTTTTCAAAAAATGATTTTTGTTCATAATTTTTAGCCTTCTTTTATGAGTGACTCCCATCTAGGAAGGAATTTTTTTTTTCACTTTGACTAAATTCCCTTCTTCTTTCGGACCTTCTTAACCCCTCTCGCTTTGACTAATTTCCCTTCTTTTCCCCATTGACCTTCTTAACTCTTCTCGCTTCGACTAACTTCCCTTCTCCTTTCCGACCTTCTTAACCTCTCTCATTTTGACTAATTTCCCCTCTCCTTTCCGACCTTCTTGACCCCTTTTTTTTAGTGCGTTTGAAAGAAATTATTGCATAAATTTGCATAAAAAAATTTGTCGTAATTTTTCTTTATCAATCTTTATTAATTATTTTTCAATATTCTAATAATTTTTACAGAGAAAAATTGATATATTTTTTATTAAATTTATTTACGTAATAAAAATATTAAAATAAATAATTAAAGGTCAAAGGTCGAAGCGAATCAATAATCGCAATTTGATGGACATTTGTCATTAATATTTGAATTTTCGAATACGAATTACGCGCTTCTTTTTTATTGTTAAGAAATTATCGCAAAAACAGTCGAAAAAAATTGTTCATTTGAAGGTTTTTTAGTAATTTTCTTCTATTTTTTATAAAAATTGAATTTTTCGGCAATTTTATTATTTTATTATTTATTTATTATTTTATTATTACAATTATTTTTTGGGGCTAAAAAGGTCAATTCGATCGATCGCGAATTAAATTGATCGGTCAAAGTTGAAAGGTCAAATTGCTTAATTAATGATTACAAATTATATTTATTTCTACATAAAATTACATTTTATCTTTTTATTCATATTTTTCATTTTTTTAAAAATTATTTTTATTATATAATATAATTTTTATAAATTAATAATTTAATTTAATTTTTCAATAAATATTTATTTTTTTAAATATTTGTAAACTTTATTAGTTTATTGTTTGTCAAATTTTTATTATTTATTTTTATTTTCTAATTTTTAATATATATTTTTTGCCTAATAGTTATTTTTAGAATATTTGTTTTTTATTTTTTAAATATTTATAATTTCTATTATTTTTGTTATTCTTTAAATATTTTTTATTTTATATTTATTTTTTAAATGTTTATTTTTTATTTATTTTTTCAAATAATTGTTTTTATTAATTATTGAGATTGAATTAAATTAAATTCAATTCGTTACATAGGTATTTCTATTAGTATTTCTAAGTGATACTGTAAAGAACCGAGCGTACATTATTGATTGAGACTCTTCCAAATTATTATATTACTAAATTACTAATAGCGATGATAATAATAGTGATAACAGTTATATGAGTAACTGTTAATTTTATCAGTGGCAATAATAATATTAATATTAATAGTATAATAATAATATTAAGAATAAAAGCATATATAAATAGAAATAAATAACAAATTCTATTCTAATCAATTTTAATTATTTTGAACAAAATGAGAAGTGAAAGTCAAGTAGAGCACTTATAAATCAACAAAAATTAATTAGTTTGATGAGACCTTAGTAATCAAACGAATTAGCTAATTTGCTAAATCCACAACAAATAGGAATTACCTAAGCTTAAGCCTAAGCCTTTGATTTTCTGGCTGAAAGTATTCGCGGTACTCGGTGAAAGCAACCAAACTTACGGCTAATTATTTGCGAATAGAAATAGAAATAGGAGATTTTGATGAAAACCTATTCGAATCTCCAACTTTTTTATATTTTGCGAATAATTAAACATTTATTTAAAAATTCAACGTAAATATTTATCTCTAAAAGATTCACCTTTATACGATTAAAATTTCCTATTTTTCACTCAAATAAAAGAATAATTTGAATTTTTTTAATTTTTAATAAATTTTTTTAAAAATTTTATCAAATTTTAAATTTTTTAATAAAAACAAATCCATGAAATTTCATCCACTTTTTTTGTAATAATTTGATAATTTTTAAAATAGAAAATAAATAATTTTACAATAATAATTTAATAATAATATTCATAAATTATTATTTATTTTATTTTATTATTTTATACGGTTTTTTTTTTTTTGATTATATTATATGAGTGAGTATTATATTATTATAAATTACTTACAGCAATGATAATAAAAGTGATAATAGTCATATCAGTGATCAATTATATCGCCGTGATAATAATATCAGTATTATTTTAGGTAAAATAAAATGCGCGAAAATCAATTGAGATTCGTAAATTCGCATGAATTCGAACTATTTTTTGCACGTTATCTTGCAAAAATCTTTGATGATCGTGTTTTCATAAATCGTGAGGACATCGTTTATGCTGAACAAATGGAAGAGGTTCATACACCTTATAGTAAATAACCCAAAATTTTTGTTATTAAATATATATACGTATTTTTTTCAATTTTTCAAAATATATCATTTGAAATCATTTCCGATGGAATAAGTTTCGTTACCTCAGGCATTTATTGAAAAATGCGCCAAAGTTCTAATTCTTCAAAAATTTTCCGCTAAATTTTTACTTAATTTTTGGCCTTAAAAATTTCCGACACCTTAAATTTCTGGTGATTGTTTAAAAGTACGAAAACCAATATTTCTCGCTCTTTTAAAAATTTTCTTCACTTAGTAAATTAATAAAATTTTTGGTGAAATTTCTTAAATTTTTATAGTTATGTCATACATCTGCTTCTTGGAGATTACCTAATAAATATTGCGATCAAATTCTGAGTGATATTTGTCTAAATCATCAGGTTTCGTTGAATTTTTATTATATTTGCATATTCATTTCTCATAAATGAAGTTGAGGCGATTAATAATTCCTTTAAAAAACTATTCAATTAAGATCTTTAGACATTTCAATTTGATTGAATTTTATAGAATTAATTTCAGGTTTTAGAGAAAATAAAAAATGCATCGTCTTCATTAACGGTTTTATGTAGTGGAAATTTGAACAATTCGAGATTTGCGAAAGAATTTGAAATTTGTCATTGTTCGAATGATGGCACTTCAGAAATTTTTGAACCTTCTCTGGTACTAAACTTTTATTTTTTAAAGTAATTTAAGTTTAAATTTTATGTAATTTGAATTTTTTTTTCATTTACTAAGGTAATAAATTGTAAAAACTCATAAAAATTCATGAAAGGAATATTCATGCTTTGCCAAGTTTTAAAATTTATAAATAATCTTTTAATGCTTATAAAAAATATCTTTCAGAAAAGGTGTTTAAATTTATTTCTATGCATTTTATCTTGTGCTATCGATAGTCGAGACGCATGGAGTGTAACTCAATTTTTTGATCAATTATGTCCGCATGTTTTGCCTTGTCTCCGACGTAAAGCTCAAAAAACTTCAAGTCAACTTAATATTATGTCGGTTGGTTCCATTATTTGTTTTTCATTTTTCATCTGTTTGGCTTTATCATCCTTGCGTTATTAGCAACCAGTTAGCGATAATTTTAATTGTTCAGTTCAATATAAATTCAGGTTCTCATTTCATATTCGAATTCGGAAATGATTGAGAATGATTCCGAAATGAATCCAACATTGCTTTCATATTCTTCGATTATAAAGAAATTCTTAGATGTTATTTCATCAATTGCTGATAAATTACACGATGATAAACCACCAAAGTAAGTTACTTATTATTACTTATTTCAAATTAAGCTTGATTTTCGCAAATTTTCCAGCATTGATTTTTAATTTTTATTCATATTCTAAACATATTATTTCTATATTCTAATTGCTATTTTTGGGAATAACTTGATTTGCATTTTCTGTTAGGAAAAGGCTAAGACTAAGATAAAGCGTATCACTTGGGAAATATCGATATAAATAGATTTTCGAAATGTCTAAATAACGATAATTTTAAATAAGTTTCATTTTTTTTTAGAAAAAATAAAAACTAATTAATCGAATATATAATAAATATTTTTCAGAAAAATCATTTCTTCGATTATCAAAGAAGCCATAAATTTTTTGAAAGTCGTTAAATTTAAATCTGAAATTTCTTCACCGGATGCCATAATTCCCTTCATCGAACGCTATCTTATAGATATCGAACAAAACTTCATCGTTTTGCGGAAAATTATTGATAATTATGAACAGGTCTATTTATTTCAATAATTTATTATTTTTATGGCATTTTTATGAATTAATGCAATTTCTCTGATAACTGATCAATTTTACATTAATACTTTATGGATTTTAAAAAATAAGCGATTGCAGGAGAAATCATTTGCGATTACGGAAGCTTATATTTTTGCATTGGCTTTACGCGATCGACTTTCTTGTCTATGTTTAAGCGATAATACAATAGTAATTTCCGAACTATTTGAGTAATATTTTTATATATTAAAAATTTTTAAGTGATAATAAAATTTTTGGCTTTAAAAAAGTGATAAAATGAATGGATTTATTTTGCTTTTGAATTGTTTGATATATACGCTCAAATATAATCCATATTTTCTTCCAAAGATTTCTAATTCTATTGCAAAAAAATATCTTTTAAGGACTCCAAAATCTACGAAGAAACTCACCACAAAAAAATCGCTAAAAACGAAACAAAAATGCGAAAATATAACATCAACGATGCCTGAAAAAGCGCTATCTTCATTCATTAAGTTTGTTAAAACAATTTATCCTTTTTTTTTAAATATTTCTGTCTCTTCAAAATAAAATATTTCTTCTTTTCTATTTGAAATATTTTTTATAATACATCCTAAAAATTGCACCAATTGGAAAAATTTCCTTCTTACTGAAATTTCCTAGAAAAATATGCATAATTATCATATTAGCGGTGGTTAACTTTGTTTTAACTAAGGTGATAAGCAAAAAAATAGAATAGCCGAAAATTCCCATATTTGAAATTTAAATTTGTATTAAAGTATGCAAATAGTAGAGATGGAATGGATTAGTATATCTAATATATATATTAAAATATATTTTTTTTTACAGCTTTGGTACACCAGAAAGAAAAAAATTTACCACATCAAGAAGTGCAAATACAACGGCTGATTCTGGTATTGTAGGCGATTATTCAGATTTTTTCGATGAAAATAAAGAAAATCTCGATCCTGATTCTGCTATTGTAATTGATTTTGATGATAAGAAGGTTAGAAGGTTTATCAATATTATATATTCGAGTTGGACGACTTATCATTTTTTCCTTCCTTTTTCATTTTTTAATTTTTTATGATTTGCTTTTTTTTCTTTTTTTTCTTAATAAACGTTAAGGATACCAAACAAGAACAGTGTAGCAGTTCGTCTTCCATATGTCGTTTTAATACAGTTAATGATGGCTTCAAATCATCAAATATTCATGAAACAATTGCTACAGTTGAGTCTAAAATGATTAATAAAAATCATTCGAAACAAGGTTCATCTCGTTCTTCTCAAGTAACCAAATCCAAATCCAAACGTAATGAATTAAAACATTTTAATAAACGAGTTGACCAAGCAAAAATCACACAATTTTTTTCATACAGGTGAAAAGTTCATAAGTTTATATAAGATTTATTTTACATTTATTATTAATTACCTCTGTTTAGCATTCTCGTTTAATTGTTTTTTTTTAATCGGCGACTTTCATTTAAATTTTATCAGTGTTTTATCAGTTTTCCATTTTATCAGTGTTTTTTTTCAGCCCATTAAGCCAAACCTCTTTTTCAATCTCCTTTCTATTTAATTTTAAAAATTTTTGCATTTCCGATATTTGTCGACGTTCAAATTGAGCAAAAAAATAATTTTAGCAGTAATGATTTTATTGGGACAAAGCTTACGAAAATAGGCTTGGCCCCAGACGAAGCGTCTAGCTTAAGATAAACGAATATAGGAAAATAGGTCATTTCTAAAGAAAACTGGTCACTATTTCCCTTTTTCTGATTAGACTTGTTTCATTGGCTGTGATGCGAAATTTTTGCTAGACGATCATTTAAACGTCGAAATGAGGTTACCAACAGCACCACAGTACCAGGTTTTTTTAAAATTACATTTTGAAAATATTATTCCTATCGAAGGTATGAGTTGAAACATTGAACCTCGAGTCAGTAATTCTAAATAATGTCCTTTTTCCACTGAACCATTCAACTATCTCTCTTTTCAACTCAATGAAATATCGATTGTAATAGGTGAAAAGGATATTCATTAATAAATTATAAATAATAAATTAATTAACAATTTTTATAAAAATAAAATTTTAAAAAATTTTGTATCGAAAAATTATACAAAAAATAAATAATACAAATAATTGCTAAATCAAATCCTTTTTTTCTAATAGCAAACACCATTTTTTAGCTTTCTTTATTTCAATAATTACTTGCTTATTTACTAATTTAGGCCACTTTTCCCCAACTGGAGAGATCTATTTAGGAATGAAAGCATAGATTGACCACTACTAGTCGTATAAGTTTCATTTTTAATGGGTTTATCCCAGTGAAGGGAGAAGAACTGAGCCCAGCTAAAGCACTAATGTACCACTAAATATTTTTAATTCGCATATGTATAAATGTTTCTTTGTTTATATATATCGTTTAATTTTTTTTCTTATTAAAATTTTGAAAATTGTATTTTTAAATTTTTTGTGATCTTTCAATTTTTTTATTTGTATAAAATGCTGAAATGCAAAGTTTCGCAGATTTTTGCAGATTTTTATTCTGCATATTTTATTATATTTAGGCAATGGGCTTATTTTTTGTTCATTAATCAGCTCTTCTAATAGTTCGTTAATTATCAGTAATGATTAGGCCACTCGATTTGAAAGCGAAACAAGGCTTTCATCGTTTTAGGTTATTTGTCGCTAAGCCATCTGAGTTTTCGAAATCTCTCTCACTTGAATTTAAATGGCCTTTTTTCACTTTTTGCATCATTTATCATAGGAATAGTCAGTTGATGGAAAACGAAGAATGTGGTCTAAGCAGCCATTCCGTACTATTACTGCAAATAATGCAAAATAGTAAGCGCTTAATTGAAATGCAAATTTTAACAAATATTGTAATCAAAAATATTAAATGCAATCGAATACAAAATTATTCACCATATAAATATTCTTAAAAAAATTCACTCATTAAAATAAAATTAATTAATTAATTATAATATCCAAAAATAAAAAAAATTGGTTTATTTTCAAAATTATTAATTTATAATAAAATTCAACTTCATTTTATAATTAATTATTAATTATAATTTTATAAAAATTATAAAAATTAAAAAATAAAATAATAAAAATTAACTCGATTTATTCTGCAATATTCCTCGCTATTTTTTATTTGCGACTTATTTATTATATTTTTTTAATAAATATTTATAAATATTAATTTGCAATAAATACGAATATATAAAATTTAAAAATTTAAAAAAAAAGAAATTTCTTAAAATCTTTTCATTTAGCATAGCAATAATTTATTCAAAAATATAAGCAATATGCAAAAAAAGTTATTGGAACAAAATATTTATAAATTTTAAAATTTTGTATTAACGCAATTATTTCCATTCGATGAATAATTTAAACCATTTTTTTAGGTTTCAAAATTTTAAGAAGAATGAAAGAAGCATTAAATACAAATCTAAGTTGCCTAATAATAATGATAAAAATGATAACAGTAATCTTTTGACAAATTCAAAAGATATATAAATTAAATTAAAGCGTATAGGATTGAATTTAAATGGATATTTCTTTTGGCGATGAATTGGATTGTTCAGTAATTTTAATTTTTTAGAAAAAAAATTCTTTTTATAAGAAATTTGCGAAAATTCGAAATATTCTCTGAGGTTTTTTTCATTTTTCAGCAATATTTTCCATTGCAATAAATATGCGACGATTTACGCCAAAAGTGTTTATAGGCAATAATAAATTTTTAAAATAATGAATTCGCCTATTTGACAATCAAATAATAGAAAATTGCTGAAAAAAAAAGCTATTATATTTATTAATATTTTTTTTTTTTTAACGAAAAAAGCAAATTCTGATAATTGTTCGAGATCAATAAATATTGTTATTAATGAAAAACAGCTAATAATTTAAATTTATTAATAATTTAATAAATTAATAAATTTAATAATTTAAATTGTTTTTTATAAATTCCAATAAAAGAAATTAGTACAAAAAAAAATTGTGTTTGTCAAGGGAAAGGTATCAAAAATATTCACTCTATCATTGTTATCATATGATTAGAATGGATGCATAACTGATAACAATTAATAAAAGGAAAGACGGTTTGCCTGAGTTGATTATTTTTGTAGAAAACGACATATAATCGATAGATGATCGATAAGTGATTTGATAAGAAAATAGGCATTTTATTATGGATCGTTTTTTTTCCCATATTTTTTTTTCATTGACAATTCCATAAATTACAAAAGATATTTGGAATATTGAAACGTTGCACGGATGCTGTTTCTTCTTCTTCAACTGAATCACATATATAGCAAGCTGCTTCTTCTTGTTTCTCGTAAATTTTATCAACCATTTCCATTAACGCATTCGTACAATTCAGACCACTTTTTGAACTTAATTTCATTTCATTGTTAAAATAAAAGGTATTTTTATATTAATATAAAAGGTATCTTTTAAAATAAAAGAATTTTTAAGGCTGAGAAAAAATAAAAGATAAAAATAAAATTTTTATTTCATTTCGTTCCTCTTTTGTCGAACCTGGCGGATTTTACGAGAGATTTCACTTAGCGATAGAAGTATACACCCTCTCTGGAACCCTCTCTGGATTTGTGGTTCTTTATCTGAGGTTTTTTCGAAAAACAAATTTACTTCTGCTGAGAGTAGTAGGAAGTGATACCAAAGTACCAAAGTGTGGCCAACAACGCACAATGCAATTCTATATCCTCATTAAATCAACTAAAAATATGAGAAATTCCCTTTGAAGCGAAGAAATATGTGTAAAATAAAAGATATCAACCTTGTTTCAAAAAGCGAGAAACCAATTCTTATCGCAAAATCCTCGGCTTCTTTAAAAGAGATTTTTCTTTGTTCTCGCAAATCAGATTTACATCCAATAAGAAATATTTCACAGCCAGGCGATGTTAAATGACTTAAATCACCAATAATATTGTGAAGACCATCAAATGATTTGCTATCAGTCGTATCATATAACAAAAATATTCCACACAAATCCACAAATTCTGTGCACTGAAAGAAAAAAAAAAAGCGCTTCTTTTCAATATATATGCATATTCAATGTATAAAATTATATAAATGTAAAACGTGGACAATAATAAGGCAAAGACTTTGTGGGACTTCTCCATCCAGACAGACCAGCAAATACTCGTCAGTCAACCAGACATCGTGGTAATAGAAAACGCACTATTAGGAACAGCCAAGATGCTGCGCAAAATTTTCAGATCTTCCCAGGTCTTTAGTAGATGAACTGAGGATGATCGTGACTACCCACAGAGGAATGACCTCTTTTTTTTATATTATAAATAATGGCTGGAATAATGTAATGGTTGAAAAATTGTTGATCATGCCTTTCAATACGTAACAGCAAGATTCTGATCCAGTTTCATACCTGACTTTACATAAGAAACTTTTGGATAAAGGCACCTAACACTGACTTTACCATCCTCAATCTCTTACGTAACCTAGTAGAAACTTGTCGCTTAACAAGGACCATTAACATTAATTGAGGAAGAAAATTTTATATAAAATTTCAGGCAAAATTTTGAAATAATCTATAACATATTTCAGATAAATTATTTTATTTTTGCTATATTATTTTTGTTCATATTTATCAATAATATATTTAGCAATATTTAATATATTTAATATCAATAATATATTTAATATATTTAATATCAATAATATATTTAATATATAACAATATTTATCAATATTTATCAAACTTTAACGCTGATCGGTTCGCCAACAACGAGTCTCTGTCTTATTGTATTTGCTGTTCGTACATGTTCATCGAGTTGTTCAACACCTGATTTATTAGAAATTTTAAAATAAATAATTATTGAAAAATAATTTTCTGAAAGAAATTTCCAAGATAAAATTCTATGTTTTTCGAAAATTTAGCTGAAAATTTTTGCGTTTTCAAAATTTAAGCTCGTTTAATCTATTCATAGTGATATTCGTAGAAAAAAATAAAAAATTACAAATAAAAAATAAAAAAATAGAGTAATTACTTCGAAAAAAAGATTAATTTTATAGCACATAAAAAAAATTTTGATGTAAAAAATAAAATATAATAAAACTTACTAACATCAATCAATTCAATTTTAATTCGATTCCCATCAGATTGTTCACAGTGAAAAAACTAAAAAAACAAAAAATTTTGAGTAAAATTTAATTTTATGAAAAATATAAAAAATATAATAAACATTGCGAAAAATTAGCATAAATAAGTTGATTTTAGCTCTTTTAGCCATTGTACATTGTAAAAGTTATTTGTCCTATATAAATCTTAAAACTTTATTTTTTTCTTAGAAAAATATCATATACGAATTTAGATATTTCTGGTTTAGCTCGTCCAACTGCCTATCGTAAAACTCTTTCGCCAGCTATTCACTCTGAGATAAAATTGTAAAGCGGATCCTCAACTGTCACATAAATCTGATAATTTTCTTACTATCATTAAGGAAATCAAAGCCACCAAACTAGTCGAAGAAATATATCACTTAGCTATCAGTTATTTACAATTATTCCTAAGCCTTATCATTTCAATTTTATCACATATTTTCCACCTTCCTTTATTTTCCCTACTATGGAAGCCCAATTTGAATTTGTTGTTAACATGTCCCTAAATCATTTCATATTATGTCAGCAATATGCCATACCTACCATACGATTTATGCAGCATATGCCAATAATAGTTTTTAATGAACAATCAAAGTGATAAGGGACCTTTATATTGCCATTGTTATATTTCAAATATGAATAAAAAAATATCCTTCCATGTATGGAATATTCAAAATCTCTTGTAAATACAAATAGTGGAAAATAAAAAAATAAAAAAACAAATATAAATAAAATAAAAACATAAATAAGAAAACAAAAATAAAACTAATTTTAGCTATAAAAATATGTAAAAAATATTTCTATAGAATATAACGAATATAGACATTTGATGAAAGTTTATCTTAAATTTTCTTTCGGTTTTTAAATTTTTCTAAAAATTTTTTTGAATCAATTTTTTTATTCTATTCTTTTATCTAATATATATAAAGAAAATGCCCGGAAGCTGAATAAAGCTAAATCAATTAGAGTTGGATCGCCGGAAGGAAAGAGATTTATCAGTCTCATTTATCTGCCGTATTAAAAAATTCTAAAGCAATTCGCCATGCAAACAATTCATATTTCGCCAATATCCAGTTTTCAATTTTCTCGCTAAATTTTCATCTGAAGCTTCATAATACCAATACCAGTAGTAGAGTTTTGTGGATTCTAAGAATACTGGCAAGATTACGACAAGATTTTCGGCAACCTAATTTTCTAAAATCCGTAAAGAAAAAAAAACCGTTTGATGAAAAAATTGAATGATTATGCGTCATAAAATAAAATTCTTAATTCAACCTGTCTGAAAGGTGGTGAATTATTTTGTAGAGCGTTGTCTGCTTCATAAAAAATGTCTCTGGCAAGACGTCGAGCAAAAGCTGTTTTTCCACATCCTTTAGCACCAACAACAGCGATTTTATATCGATGAATAATACACTATAATTTAGATATATATTAGAAATATATTTTCGTATTTTCTTGAAAATTAAAAATATGAAAAATTTTCCATTAGCTTAATTGTTCATTATTTAATTTTCTAACCCATCAATTATTTTCATCCTATTTTTAATCTTTTTTTTTATCGTTTAGCTTATCCTAGGATATGAATTTCTTGCCAAAAGCCTAAATGGGCCTAAGACAAATGCAAATGTGTTTTCAGCACCATCAGTATTTCATTCTTAACGAAAGATTTAATCATCCTATCGAGAGATTGAACCCATTCCGATTGTTATTAGTTGAAGCAAAACACAACTGAGCCATTCTTATATTCTCAAATTTCATACATGCCAGAGTAAATTCAGCAATTTCATTTTAAGAGCCCTCACCATTAAACTTTAACTCGTTTCGCTGGCTTGTCGCATTAGACAAATATGCCGAGTATTTTTGCGATGGAAATGCGGCTGAGTCGCCAGCATCACCTGGATTTCTGGACTTCTGGATTTCTAGATTTATTCCTGCGAGAAGTGGATTCTCAGCATCGGCGAACTGAGCAACAATCCACTGTTTTTTTTTACCCCCAAAGTCAACAATTAAAATCGCCTAATTAGTTCTTTTTAGACAATATTTTTAGGGCTGTTCGCAACTGTGGAATTTTTATCAGTTATCAGTTAACTTCACACATTGGCTCTAAAATTTCAAATAATACTTATATAATTTATCATATAAACATTGTTAAATGCAGAAAAAATTCCGTATAATGAAAGAATAATTTTTCAAAAACATTAAATTGGTTTGATTAGAGAAAAAAAATGATAATGAATGCAATTATGAAACTAAAAAAATAGAACTGTAAATCAACAGCCACCCTCGCTAATCGGTCCGTAATTATTCTAATTTTCATTCAGCATATATTATAAAATATAAATACGAGATGTGATAGGCTAGTGGCGATTTATATAGCCACTTCTGCCACTAAATGATTCCCTGGCAAAAATTTCTAACTGAATTTCTAAAGAATTAGCCAAACCAGAAATGAAATGAAATAAATGAAAAACTGGTCGATGATCCGATTATTTTGTTAATGCGATTAAAAACTTCATATTTTGGATTTTATTGAAATACATCAAATATGCTAGACATATCTTCTTTTTCCTTCTAACACTCACACCATTACTGGTTAGACTGGTTCCAATGGCTATAAGGGTGACGCTTCGGGCGGTCTGATGCCATCGTCGACAGTAACAGAAACCATTCCTTTTTCCATCATCTAAGTCCATATATTGCCGCTCCACTTATAACGTATCAATCCAGGTCTTGATGGTAGATATATAAAACAACATTTTAGTTGTTCAATTGGTTTTACTATGTCTATTAGAATATTGAAAAATTTTTGTTAGGGAATCATTTAGCAAAAAAATTACATCCCAATAACTTTATAATAACTTTTGTTATGTACAGAAAACAAATTATTATTTGCTCTCAACACCAGCTTAAAGAGAAATGGTGAGCGCTATAACTTATAAATTTACCTATAGATTACTTACGAATCCATTCATTCATCAAAATTCATAGGTAAAAATTCATCAAAATAAATAAAAGATAAGCATTCTTAAAAATCAAGAAAAAAAATAGATAATGCAAGCGTGGATCTCCTTTCCGTGAAAAATAAAAAATAGGAAAATTTTTTTCGAATGATAATATTAATTGTTGTAGCAGAAAGCCTTATCAATGATTAAGATGATTATTGTAAAAATGTAAATTTTTCTATTTCAATTTTATTCATTTTTTTCACCTTCGACGAAATTACTTTTTCGCATTCGAAATCGTTCAGTTTCCGCAAATTAGAATATTTAATCTTTTCTCAGATTAATAGATTTTTCCTTTTTGAATAACTGAATTATGATTGATTCAAATGCGAAATGCGTCTGAGGCTAAATAAAAAAAATTTAAATAAATAAAATCGGCTGCTCGATCCAAATGAAATTTTTTTCCTAGAAGAATTCACCGATTTCTAGTTTGGTTCACTTCGCTGATTTGTCTATCCAGACAATCACTTGGCGCTAGAAACGGGTCGTTAGTTAGCATTAAAAGGAAAGAGAATCCCAATATCGGCGCTCCGAAATGAATACACTAATCCTATTCTACCTTCTAAATACAAATGATATTATTTTTATTTTATATATAAGTAAAAATCCAGTAATATGGAAGGGTTTTTTTTTTCAAATTGAACTTCGACATAATTAAAATTATAATTACAATTTAAATTTTAAATTTTATTTAAATTTATTTTGGATTTCTTTAATAAAATTTATATGAAATGCGAATGAGATGAGTGTTAATTATATTATAGCGTTCTATTGATAACAGTAAACAAATAAATATTTGGCTGAATGTTGAAGATTTTAAATAACTCTATAACACAAATATTTTATAACTCTATTCGAAAATAATTCTCTATAATTTTCATTTTCTTCTTATAATTTAAATCAGCCAGCTTAACCAAAAATAATCCGTACTAACTATAAGAATGGAAACGATCGCATTTGAATGGTACTTTATAAAATTTCAGTTGCACTAATTATGTTAAATAAAATAAAAAGCATCATAAAATTAGATAAAATATTTAATATTTAAATTCACAGAATTTTGAAAAACATAATAACGATAATATGTAAAAATATGGATATTAAATGAGAAACATACATTTGTTCCACTAGCGACATCCATGAAACAAATAATACAAAAATTTCAATCAGGAAATTTCAATCGAAAAATGCGACGACAACAACGACGACTAACTGGTCGAACTGAACGACTTACAATAAGCCTATACACACATTGACTAACTAACGATGATGATGATGATGGTGATGGCAACGCCAGCGACAGCGATCATTCTCAATTCACATTTCTAAAAATCGTTTGCTTTGTCTCTCTCGACTTAGTAGTAAATAGCATTCCTTTAAAATTTCCTATCATTCTCTGCAAATTCGAAATATTCAATTAATTCAAGTTAAGTTAATATTGCTTATATTTCAATTCGAAATCGTTAAGAAATTTTTATTGAATTCGAGCTTTCAATGAATATCGAAATCCATAACATAAATTTTTCATCGATATTTTTCCAGTCGTATTAAATTTTCTTTTTGGAAACTTATTTTAAAATTCTTATAACTCCTGACGACTTACGTTTATCAACTACTCACTAAATGGTCTTCTGGCACTTGCATATGGATCTTCAAATATTTCATTCCTAGTAATTCGACCATAAAACAAGCCAAGCCAAAAATCTTTAATGAGGAACGAGAGAAAGAACGACTATTTCAGAAAACACTAAGACAGAGTTTTATTTTTTATTTTTAAAGATTTTTTAAGCGATATTTATCAAATCATCTTTTTCAACATCAATGAATGAGAAATGTGCAATTTGCCACTTATGTTATTCTCATTTACTGGCATAATTATCTAAATAATATATATCACCGTTATTGATAATCATTATCATTTTAATTCGCTATTATTATAGTAAATTTTATTATTATAGTAAAATGATATAATAGATTGATGTAAAATATATTTATATTTTTTTATATATTCCTTTATTTTTATCCAGAATATTCGATGAAACATCTCGCTAAAAATATTATTTTAAAATATTTTAAATATTAATAATGTTGCAGTAGATGCTAATAAAATACCTATTTCTATCGATTCATTGCCTATTGAGGAAGTGCCCGACTTTAAATATTTTGGATTTACTCCAGTCCCAAATGGCTAGGCAAAGGATGAAATTGTTTTTCCTGTTGATGAAACTTTATTGAATCGTCGTAAAATCACCATGAAGAAAATCCGCGTCCATATAGCGGCAATTCGCTCGATTTTGCTAAATGGCTACGAAACAGCCAGTGAGAGTGGAAGATATTTAGAAGCTTTCAGCCTTTAATCACCCATGTTTACGATAAATTTTACGAATCCGTCGAGCAGATAAAGTCGCATATGGTTGCACCAATCTTCGCTCAAGTACCACCTGTATTAATAATGTTATCATAGAGCGTCGCCTTCGCTGGTTAAGGTGCATTCTCCATCGTCCACCACAGGAGCATGTTTCGCTACTTGCCGAATCCTGTGATGGTTGTTGTCAAAACCTGGACTGGACTGATACATTCAGGAAAGATTTTAATCGACCTCATCAATGCTGGCAAACCACCCTTTATTGCTAAGTGGCAAATGGCTCTAATTATATTATTTTAAAGTTAGAAAAACCAGAAGCTATGTTGACCGTTATTCACTTAGTAATTGTTAATATTTGACAGGCGTTATCATAATAAATCCTTTTATTATAAAATATTGCCGAAAATATTTCTTATCTTTTTTTTTTAAGTTTGATTATTATTAAAATTATTTTAACGAATTTTAATTGGTTTTTTAATTGATAAATTGATAATCGATTCATTCAAAGAATAATTTTGAAAATATCAAAATTTTTATTATTTTTTCAATAGCAATGTAAACAATGTCTGGAAGAAAGATAAGGAATTAAAAAATATTTCATTCAATATTTTCTTCATAATCTTTAACATTTTGTCTCGTTATTTTATTATAAAACATTCTTCATTTTTTTTTTTGCGAAATCATTTATTTATCAAAGTAAAATATTTTACATTTTTTTTTTCATGCATGAATGATAATAATACCAATTACAACAAACAATGGTAATAATAATAATGATAATAAAAATAATAGTTATGGAAATAATAATAGTAACAATAATAATAACAATATTATAATAATATAATGATAATATAACAACAATAACGATAATAATAATAGTAATAATAACAACAATAATATTAAAATAATAATAATATAATAATAATAACAATAATAATAAAAATAATTTGAATTCAATCAAAATGGTGTATTTAAAATAAGCAAAAAAATTTCTTTCGAAACTTTCTCTGTTAAAAAATATTTTCAATCATTTAATCATTGAAAAA